GCTGGGGGATTGAACCGCGGTCCCTGTGCATCGCTAAGCTTATTCTAAGTAGCTGCTTTAGACCACTGAGCCATCTCACCAGCCCTATTGTATATATTTTTGATAAAATTATTTATCCCTTCCTACGTCTGTACTTATTGGACTGTGGGCATTTCTCCCTTCTGAAGCTTCTGAGAGAAGGTTGCAGATATGATACACCTATACCTCTAAATACACGGGGGTGTGGGTGGGGGGTCTTTCCTTCAAACGTTCCCTGAGGGCAGGGAGATGGCTCAGTAGAGTAAGTGCATGCCTGGCAAGTTCAGGGTCCTGAGTTCAGTCCCCGGTATGGCCAATAAATAAATAAATTAATTAATTAATTTGGGGCTTGCCAGTTATTAGCTCAGTTGTTTAAGCGCCCACATGGGGAAACCCAATCAGGCGCAGAGGACGGTGGTCGGATCCCCAGCTCCACATGCCACACCAGACCCGCCCTTAAGGCAGCCTGAGCCAGCCAAAAAAAAAAAAAAAAAAAAAAAACTTTCCCCCGTTGGGCATAGTGGTACATGCTTGTAATCCCAGCACTTGGGAGGCCAAGACAGCTACTACAGGTTTGAGACCAGCCTAGTGAGTTTACAGGCAGCCTGAACTGCATAGCAAGACCCTTTCTCAAAATCAAGCAAAAAACAGGTAAAAACAAACAAACAACAACAACAACAAAAACATTCCTTTGTATCAGTATCTTCAATAAGAAGTCTGAGGGCCAGCAGCAAAGGTAACCCCTGGAAATCCTTAGAGGGCCCCACCCCAGGTCATCGGATTTGGGTAGTTATGCTGTGCTTATGGAAGGAAATTAACGTCGTTTTAAACGTAGGCAATTTGGCCGGAAAGATGGCTCAGTAGAATAAGCGCTTCCCCGGCAAATGCAAGGACCTGAGTTCTATCCCTGGTTCCGAAAGAAAAAACAAACAAAAAAACCTAGGCATGACTGTACTGAGATTTCACCAATGTGCCAGGTATAGCTTTAACAGCAAAACTAAAACATGGGACACTTCTGAGACTACAGGGAACCCTATTAATAATTCTGCCAGGTAGGGGTCAGGTGTAATAAGCAGCTCCGGGTGTAGTTAAGGTTTCTAAATAACGACACTTGAAAACTTAGGGTAGGAGGTCGGGGAGATGGCTCAGAGAATAAGCGCTTCCCTGGCAAGCACAAGGGCCTGTCCTGGTTCCACCAAAAAAGAAAAGCAACAAAAAGGAACCGGGGAGATGGCTCAGTGGAATAAGCGCTTCCCTGGCAAGTGCAAGGACCTGAGTTCAATCCCCGGTTCCG